ATGCGCGGCCCCGCCATTTTTAAATCCCCGCTCGTTCGAACCCCGTGCCGCGCGACTACACGCGGCACAAACTAGGTAGTTTGAACTAGGCTTCCTAGTTCAAACTACCGATACTCCTCATTCCACAAGGAGTGAGGATGAGGAGTAATGGTATGAGGAGTAATGGTATGGAATGAGGCGTAACGTGGAATGAGGAGTAACGGTAGTTCGAACTAGGAAGCCTAGTTCGAACTACCTAGTTCGTGCCGCGTGGAGCCGCATTGGTCCCCAAGTGAAAAAGGAGGGTTGTGTAGGGTAAAAATGTCTGGAGGCAGGCTATGATATTCTGTTAAGAACCCTGGGTATGTCTATACTACCCCGCTAGTTCGAACTAGCGGGGTAGTGTAGACATACCCAGGGTTCTTAACAGAATATCATAGCCTGCCTCCAGACATTTTTACCCTACACAACCCTCCTTTTTCACTTGGGGACCAATGTGGCAATGATTCAATAAACCCGTGAGAAACTGATTTTTACCAGGGTGGTTAAGATAGGAATAACTTTCCTGTAATTAAAAGGTATCTTCCAGGCCAAAGATTGCAAACTCATTACTTTTCTTAAATCTCATGTAAAAAGTAGCATCTATCTTTTCAAAAGAAATATAACACCCTAAAACTAGCCTATCTGAAAAGAACAGCTTTTAGAGGATACCAATCAGCAGGGCTTGACAAACAGTGGCGAAAACCACTCGCCAGCCCTGTACTGTGCATGAGCAAGAGCCGCATTGCGCTTGCGCGCAACGTGAATGAACAGGGCGCGCGGCTGAAATCTACTCACCATGGGAGAATAGAGTGTATAGTTTGTCGAGCCCTGACCATCAGGAAAAGCTATATATATGTACAGAGTAAATATTGATACCAGACTGACTCTACAGTTCAGAAAGAATGCCAGTAGTTTGGATTGATTACAGGGCAATATGTGAATGTTTCCCTATTTTTATAATTCAGTCTTTGGCCTGCAAAATTTTGCACAGTTCACACAAGGAAAAAGTTGCAATTAGACATGACCTCGGGAATTTCAAACATAATTTTACCCTTATCCTCACCTGTTGCCTTCCTTTATGACCTTGAACTTGCTGATCAAAAGATTAAACTGAATGAAAGATTCAGAATAGAATGACAGTACCAATTGCTTCCTGTATTGTAAATGGAGGTCAGGCAGTGAGTCATATTTCAGTGTGCAATCCTGGAAAATTCCAAGAAGTGCTTCCTTTTCTAGAGGTATTCTGAGCAGAGTTGCACTGATACCTCAGGATATCAGAAAATACTTCTTTCCTACAGCAAAGTAGGCATAATACTACAATAGCTGGACTACTGAGAATTTTAAAAGTGATAAGGAAAGGCTACACAGCCAATTTTGGGCCCGTCTTTCAACATGGGTAGGATACATCTTAAAGCCAAGCAGGTAGTACTAACCGAAAAGAGCACCTTAGACTGAGGCACTCAAGAACTGCAAGCCAGTTCAGGACTTGTCTGGGCTGTGCGGTTATTAGAACATGTTAGCCAACATGTACTTGTAAATAGCATGTTTGAAAAGCCTTGTGTAGACAAGGCACTAACTTGAATTGCATAGTATGTGTGAAAGGCAGCATGTCCTCTATACTAGACCTCTAAAATGTTAGCTGGCACAGGCTAACTTCACATCCTTAAGTGCTAGTCAGACAAAGTTTGAATATCCCTTTTTAATCATAGAGTTACTTCTAATGCGGGAGGGCAGGTAGTATGCTAAAAATAGAGCCTCCAGGTTCCAATAAAAAGCAGCAGGGTTTTTCATTTCCGATTTGACAATATATAATGCCTCGCCAACAATATCCCTTAGTTAGAATTAGAATGTGCAGGGTGTGTTATCAAGAAAACAAATCTGCCTTTAAATTAAAGCCTGTTTACCATGGCTCTTGACTAATACAGGCACACTTATGAACTACCACAGCTCTTCTTTCATTATGCTGGGCTCCCCACAGTAATATCGATGGGGATAGGAGCATCTAGAAGTCTGAATTGGATACGGGGGGTGGAATTGGTTGTCCTAAGCTCTGTGCTGCAGAGATGAGGCCATAGGGACTCCATTGTAAAAATCACTGCAGCTTCCCACTTTCACAATACATTCTATTACTTTAATTACACTGAGGGTAAAATAGGGTCCGTAGCTAGAACATCAGCAGTTTAACACTGTATTTGGGAGAAGTTAAATAGGCTCTATTGCAGCGTGACTTTCTCCATTGTACTTCAATAAGCTGGTTTTAGTTAGTGCTCCAATCAAATCCATTACATTTCATCACATTAAGTGGGGTTTAATTTACACCATTGCAAGCCACTCACTTTTCCCATGTTCCTGTCTCCTAACATTCCATCAAAGCAAATTGCCATAAACCTGTGTTACCATAGCAATGAGGGCTCTATTGCAGCGTGACTTTCTCCATTGTACTTCAATAAGCTGGTTTTAGTTAGTGCTCCAATCAAATCCATTACATTTCATCACATTAAGTGGGGTTTAATTTACACCATTGCAAGCCACTCACTTTTCCCATGTTCCTGTCTCCTAACATTCCATCAAAGCAAATTGCCATAAACCTGTGTTACCATAGCAATGAGGGTAGCACAGCAGTGGGGGGGGGGAGGGGAGGAGGAGGGAGGGTCAGATCAGCACAATTTCTGAAAGCTTTGTACTCTCCATCCAGGAAAGGGATAGCTATGACTAAAAGGCATGGTTGCCATGGCAACATGAGCTGCTCCTATTGTTTCAGTTTGTCACTCATCACAGCAATGTTTGCCTTGGGAGATAGTGCAAAGCTTTTCTGGTAGCCCTTTGTTGTGGATCCAGAAGGCTGGTTAGTAATGCTTCTGTGGTAAACAGAAGTTTTGTCTGGGAAGGAGGGAGGAGATCCATTGACTGAGCAATCAGATTGAATCAGGTGTTTTAAAATCATTTGCACAAAAGTAAAGGCGAAAGTTTGAAATGAGCTGCATAGCAGTGAATTATACCAGTAACTGTCTGCACAGAAGCTTCAAAGGGGTAGCCGAGTTAGTCTGTAACAGGCAAAACTTAAACAACAAATAGACTAGTAGCACCTTCAAGACTAACAAAACATGTAGATGGTACCACGAAATTTCATGGACACAGCCCATTTCTTCAGATGCCACGAAAGCTCATGATACCATCTACATGTTTTATTAGTCTTGAAGGTGCTACTAGTCTATTTGTTGTCTAAGTTTTTTCTGCACAGAGACTACTTGGGGGTGGGGGAAGGAAATGTTCCTGATAACCCTGAAAGGATGACATACAAAGTAAATCAGAAGTATTCCTGTTAATTGTTTTAACCTGGTTTGTAATAGCCTAGTAAATCCACCACATTATTTTTGCAGGAAGGGAGGGCAGGGGAATAATGTAACCAGTAACTCCATATTATTGCAGACCATCATCTTCCTAACTCTTCTGAGTTGTTTCTGAAGAAAAAGTGTGATTATATTGCTCATGAGACCTACCAGCTATGAAGTCCTGGAACTTGAATTGTATCCAGAATATGGTAGTGGCAATGGAAGCTTTTCCTCACTTGCTCACCTATTGCCTGATCCAGAGACCATTGATGTCAATGGGAGTCTTTCCACTGACTAAATGAGCTTTGTATGTTGACCCAAAAGGTTTCAGAGCTAAAATTTAATTCTACATATCTGTACCATGCTCGAGGAAAGGATGGTGAGGTAATATTGCTTATAATTGGACCAACTTCTGTTGAGAGAGTCCAACTTTTGAGTGACACAAAACTCTTCCTCAAACCAGGGAGGGATTTGAGATGGCTTTGTAGCTATTTATATGAAGTTTGTTCCATGCATGATGGAACACACTGGAGAAAGCATGAAGGTGTTTGGGAAAACTGGACATGTGGACACAACCTATACTCATCTGTCCTTGTCCAGGAATTACAGAATCTTCTTTTGTTTTATTTGAAGTGGCTTGCAAACTAATATATTTGCAATAATCAAGGTTCTTCCAAATTGTTGTGATAGTGCATAACGTTGCCACTACTCTATTGTTTTGTGTAGATAGTTTGAAATACATATGGCTTCCTACTGAATACTGGGACAAAGAAAAGAACAACCACCCAAAATATATCTGGAAAAGTCATCCAAGAATGGGAAATTAAATGAGTTAGCTTGCTACCAAAGTAAGTGTAATGAACAGATTAGACAGAAACATTCAATTGCAAATAGACTATGTCTTGAAAGATTACATTACAGACCATTTCTAATTGTTTACATATGTCCTTTAAACATCAGTAGTCTACAACTCCATAGAAGTGGTGTGGCACGTGGAAAAGAATTGTATGGGGACTCTTGCCAATTCATCCGCAAAGAATGAGATAGATGTGTGATTGAAAAGTATTTGTCTAACCAGCTGCAGCTGTGTGTAGCTGATACATAAACCCTCATTTAGAAGATATTATCCATCAGGCAGAACAAAGGTGGGTAATTTGAAATGATTTAGCACAATGACTTAGCAAATTATCACGCTTTAAAAAAAAGCATTTTAAGTCACCTGAAGGTTGAGAGACAAACCTACAATTTCTAGGGCATTCAAAGTTAAAACTCATCTGTCCTGAACTTACCTTTTCCCTTTTAAAAAGCTGTTTAAATTTCAACATGGTAAAAACAAATTAGGGGTGAGTTGATGGTGAATTTCTAGTTCTTCTGGGTTAATAACTGGAGCATATGTCTCATGAGGAGAGGCTGAGCCCTGGTTTACACTAGGTTTACACTATTTTGAAATAACTCCCCTCATTTTGAAATAACAAACCCGTTATTTCCAAATAAGGGGCTGGTTATTTCAAAATAACTGCTGCTTTCCATGAAGAATAATGCTTATTTGGAAATGGTTATTTCGAAATAGCAGTAGTATGGATCCTCCATGGCTGCTATTTTGAATGATTCTGGGGAGTAGTTATTTCAAAGTAATTACTCCCCAGTGTTTCCTGGAGCTCTAAGTCAAGGTAGCATGTCCAAATTAAGGGAGCCTTTTGAGGCTTTCCTGTAGTATGGACATGCTATTTCGAAATTGTTATTTCTGGAATTATTTCAAAATCATTTTCTAATGTAGACTTAGCCTGAGGGAAATGGGTTTATTTGGCTTAAAGAAGAGAAAAGTAAGGGGGGTGTGGATTTGATAGCAGCCTTCGACTACCAAAGAGTTTCCCAAGAGGATACAGAGAGGCTGTTCTCACTGGTGACAGATGACAGAACAAGGAGCAATGGTCTCAAGTTGCAGTAAAGGAGGTGTAGATTGAATATTAGGAAAAACTTTCAGTAGCAGGATGGTGAAGTCCTGGAATGGGGTTTTTAGGCAGGCGGTGGAACATTCATCCTTAAAGATTTTTAAGGTGAGGCATGACCGAGCCCTGGCTGGGATGATTTAGTAGGGTTTGATCCTGTTTTGAGTAGGCAGTCGAACTAAATGGCCTCCTGAGTTCTCTTTAAATCCTGATCTTCTGTGATTCTATGATCTTTTTTCCAATTTGAATTGAGAGATAATGGGCACATTTAAAATATATTTGTGATCTTTTTAGACATTTGAAAATTGTTACTGGGCTTATACCAATAGCAGCACTCAAATAGTCAGGAAAAAACCCGCCCAAAATCACTCCAGTTTTCAAAAATGGCCACTGAAACCTTGAGTCTGCAATGAATCCTAGAAATATAGTGCTGGAACTGAGCTCCCCAAAGACATCCAGTTCAGCCTTCTGCATGGTGGCAAGATCAAGTAAACCTAGAGCATCCCTGAGAGCTATTTGTTGAACCTGTTTTTAAAAATTTCCAATGATTATTGAATCCCTATCTCCCTTGGAATCTTCTGCCAGCACTTGTTACCCTTATATAGTAACTTGCAACTAACATCTAACCTAAATTTCAGATAAAACACATGATTACTTGTCCTATCTTCAGTGGACACAAAGTACACTTGGTCTTCCTCCTCTTTATAATAACCATTTAATTAAAGCCATTATACTCAGCCCTATATAAACCATAAACTCAGTATCTCTTTTCAGTCCATGCTTTTTAGTGTCTAGCCAAGTTAGGAATTTTAGCTTTCGGGCACAACGTTTGGAAGTGTTGTGCAGGTTTTCTTTGAGGATGAGGCCTGAGAGTTATTGATTGCTTTGCAGAAGCATTCATACCCACAGGTGATGTGGTACTTTTGTCATCTTATTTTCCTCTGAGTTCTTTTGAGATTGTCCAGTTTTTCCCACCTAGTATCTATGGGGCTTTTAGTGCACTAGTGGGTTTGTGATGGGGCGGACAAAGCCTGACCTCCCCGCTGGAGGCCTTTCAGCACCCTGGACAGCAGCAGGCGCAATGGAGAGGTTGTCTGAGCAGGGTAGGGGGCAGCCTTCACTGCAGCCTATCGGGATGTGGCAGGCTGCTATATAAGGAGTTACTAGGTAAGGCCTGTCAGTTCCTTCCTGGAGCTCAACCCAGGCAGACCTCTGGGCTGACTGGGGAACACCAGAACCTTGGACAGCTCCAAGTGAGCGCAGGGCCCTCATAATTGAGTGGAGCTAGATCCTGCGGCTAAAGGCTAGCCAGGGACAACTCTGTGGAACCCCAGACAAGGGGAGTTCAGCAACAAGGCCCTCGAGATGGGCTGGATGAAATGGCATCCCAGGGAAGTGGCCCAAGGGTGTGACCACAATTACGGACTTTGAAACTTAGCAGGTTACTACTACTTATAGGGTCCCTGGGCTGGGACGCAGAGAAGTGGGTGGGCCTGGGTCCCCCCTCCCCTCCAACATGTCTGCAAATCACATCGGAGTGAGCAGGGGGTAAAAGAAGAGGCCTGAACCTCGGCCACAGACTGGACATTGACTCGCCTGCAGACAGGCGAGTTAAATATTGCGAGACCCGCTTCAGAAACCAAGGGGCGCTGGCACACAGGACTGAACCTGTTACAGGGTTATTCTAACAAACTATAATACGTAATCCACTAGCAACCTAACAGACCACCTGCTTTCCCCATTTCCCTTTCCTCCCTGTTACTAGAGGTAGGGGGACTGCTGATGAGGGACATGGGGGAGAGGGCCGCAAGGGGAGGACCAGCCATGTGAACACCCCCCCACACATATGATTCCTCTCCATGCCACCCCTAGCTCCATACAGGGCCTAGGACAACCTCCATCCCAGGCCCCACCTCTACCACTCCTTCCCCCCAAGTGATACAGCCTAGTGAGTCTGGAGATCTAGTGCCAGCAGCAAGGGTTGGGGTGCCCCCCTGCATTCACTGGTGGCAGCAGGGGGAAACAAAGTGATGCTTCCCTGGCTCTTGGCTATATCTCTCTACTTCCTGCTGGTTAGTGTCTTACCCGTTCCCCTGAGCAGCAAGACAAGGGAGCAGAGCAAGCTAAGGCCACATCACTCTGCTTTCCCCTGCTAGTGCAGGCCCTGGGCTTCCTCAACTAGACCCTCGGGGCTACCCAGATACTCTAGTCATGATGGCTGCTGGCCCTTTGCCCCTTCTTACCCTGGATTTGGGGGGGGGGTCACATGACTCTTTGTGCATCCCACACATTGCCCCAACTGGAGGGGTGTTAATGGGCCACTTCTCCTTGAAAGATCTTTTGAAATGTGTTCTACCTTGTATTTAGCTGTGACTTTCTGAGACGATGTCTATACTTTTTGCACTGTCACTTTTACTGGTGATATAGAGAACTGGTAAAGGAAAAGGGTTGATTTGTGTTCTCATTTCCACAGGCATCAGATTATGCTTATACAGGCAGTCCCCGACTTACGCGGATCTGACTTACGTCGGATCTGCACTTACGAACGGGGCTTTCTCGCCCCGGAGCTCGCAGGCAGCGGTCCGCCACCTCGACCTCCAGGGCGAGAAAGCTGCTCCCGGTGCCCCTGGTCTGCTGGGGACCGTCTCCAGCAGACCAGGGGCACCGGGAACAAAGCCGCAGCGGCGGCGGGTCCCGCGCCAGAGCAAAGCCTCAGAGGCGAGGCACCCCGCTGCTGCGGCTTTGCTCCCCGTGTCCCTGGGCTGCTGGGGGGGGGGGCGCCAGGCCCCTGCCGCTGCGGCTTTGCTCCCCATGTCCCTGGTCTGCTGGGGGGTGGTGCAGCTAGTGTGCCTCCCCCAGCAGACCAGGCTTTTGATGTGGACCCTGGGGCAGAGCAGCTGGGGCGCTGCCGGTTGGTCCCGCAGCGCCGCTCTGGGCATTACTGGACCAACCCG